TTTTCTTCCCTTAAGCCCGCCCTCCTCCTCCTTCTGCTCGGCCGGGGCAGAGGGGTGATTAAAGGCCTAATTTTCTTTTTCCATTATGTTATTCGAGTTGTTATAGGTTGCAGATGTTGTGTGATTGATCATCATAACTTGAGTTTTTGGTTGCATGCATCTGATTAGGTGAGAGAAACAGATTTACTACGCACACATAATTTTGTTAATTTGTGATCCTAATGATTAGAACTAACTGGTAAAATTTTGATCTTTGGTAGAACTTTTTCCTTCTGAATTTAGTTTTTAGTCTTCTGTTGAATTGTAGCACGGTTGTGGTCTGGAAAACAGGCATAATTGAATGATTGGAAGCTCCTAATTTCTGGAGATTTACTAGTATGTTGGTTTTTAAAGAGTTGAGATTGTCGTCCGTCCATTGATTGTTATAACGAGCGCCTTCGTATTTAGTGAGCTTAGTAATGGACTAACTATCTAGGTAGTATTACCTTTTCATTTAGGATAACACGAGTAGGAGAATTGGAATTTCTGTATCGTGGAGTCTTTCAGATTCAGGTGAAAAACTTGTAAAGTTTTCATTTTTTATTGGGTTCCTCTGTATTGGTTCTAGTCCTAGTATTAGTATGTATAATGTTGCATAATTATCTTCTTATGTCCGCAATTCTGTTTGTGACTGCTCAGCATGTGGGCCGTTTCCTTTTCTTTCTTGCTTTCTATCATTTTCTGTTGATTTTTTTTTTTGGGTGGGGGGGGGGGGGGGGGGGGGAGAGGCCTAATAAGTGTGTGGGAGAACAAATTCTGGGTAAGGTTGAAGTTACTTATGATGGTTATGGTTTATGCTATGAAAGATATTCATGGGAGTAAAAGATTGTCGTCGGAATATTACTGGTTTTAGTTGTGACACCAATTGGAATATCTAAGTGTCGCATCAAAAGAGGAATCACGTTGTTCTCAGTACAACAATAATTGAAGCTTCATTTTGGCTGTGTTATGGGAATCTCTTTGTTGATGTAATTTGTCTAATATGTTCCTGTCTTGCATTTATTGTATTGTGCAAGTTGTTTTAAATCGTTTGAAATCTGAAAATGGACAGCACGAAATATCTACAAGGAGAACTATCATATGGAAAGCATTTCCGTCACAAAATTTAACAGATGGATAGATTCAAGTATGAAATTCATTCTAGATTACTGAATTTCTCCTATGATGTAAATGCCTTACTTCCAGATGGAATCATGTTTATAAAGACCAAACTACCCAAAAAGTGTAAATGTAAATAATCTGTAAATATCTCTGTTTTGTTTGATAATGTGAAAAGTCTAAGAATAATTTGTGACGTTTTCCAATGATAACCAACAAGAACGTAGCGCAAAGATGAATGACCAGAATATGCAAATTAAGCTGCTAATTTAAATTTAGAAATCTCCTGGTTTTATCTGCTTTCTTTATCTTCTTCTTTCTGCTCCACCACCTATATCATTTCATACATTGATGTTCTGCCATACCCCACTATTATTTGGTGTTTTATGTTTCCAGGAATCAATTTATGGTTTTCACATATCCTCTGGCCTTGGGTATCTACTTTATGTTTTAATTCATGTCTGATTTGTTCTTTATGAACCTTCACGTTCTTTTTTTTTTTCGTTTTCTTTGATTTCTTCTGATGTAGACACATTATGTTCTGTTGCTCTCTTCCTTCAAAGAACAACTGCAACAACATGTCCGTGTTCATGCAATGGAAGCAGTCATGGCTTGTTGGGAGCTTGAGCAATCTTTGCAAAGCTTAACAGGTATGATTTATTTAAGGTTCTTTTCCTCATTGTTTACCTGTAATCGTTGACTCATCCCAATATGAGGTTTTACCAAAAGACGCTTTATCAGTTTTCAACTATGTGTGAGGTTTGCCTTTAAACTTCATTCTGTGATCCTTCCTACTGTAATTTTTGCACTGGAAACAATCTTATATTCACCAGATCCTGTATGCCATAAATTATGATGCAAAGTAGCAAATGGCATCTACCTGCATTTCCACCAATTTTCCATTTTGAAAGTTGGGTGAGGAGGGCAATACCTCATACCCTTCAAAATGAATCTTGCGACTTAGAACTAGCAAATCCAGATATTATTAGTTCGGTCCTCAAGCTATGCCAATCTAGTTAGCGAACTCTCTGGTTTTTGGATCATTTATATTGCCCAATTATGCTATGTTCTTCTTGATGTTCCTTCATTCTATGTTCTGTGTTGAGAACATCAGAAAAGCTGCTTTTGATTCTTTACTGGGTGGTCTTGACATAAAACATGCAATGCATAGGGGTGGCGCCCAGTGAAGGTACGGGAGCTACTATGTCTGATGATGATGATGATCAGGCAGATAGCGACACAAATTTGTTTGAGGGAAGTTTAGATGGCCAAGACAGCATGGGATTTGGTCCTCTTACGCCTACTGAAAGTGAAAGGTCTCTGATGGAGCGAGTTAGACAAGAACTGAAACATGAACTCAAACAGGTGAAATGGTGGAGCACATTGATTTGCCATTGTCATACTTTAGCTTTACCTAGTTGGCTGCCACCAAACAATTATTTGCTTCACAGGGATACAAGGAGAAGATCGTGGACATCAGAGAAGAAATTTTACGTAAAAGAAGGGCGGGAAAGCTGCCTGGTGACACCACATCCCTCTTAAAATCTTGGTGGCAATCGCATTCCAAATGGCCTTATCCAACAGTATGGATTGCAAAACCTCTCCTGGCTATGAATTTGAAAACCATGGTCTATTGGGCAATGCTCTGAGACTTTATAATATTCTTGTAGGAGGAAGACAAAGCCAGGCTAGTGCAGGAAACTGGGTTGCAACTAAAGCAGATAAATAATTGGTTCATCAACCAAAGGAAAAGGAATTGGCATAGCAACCCTTCTTCATCCTCTTCTCAAAAGAGCAAGCGCAAGAGGTACACGGATTGACTTTCATCCTTTTACATAGTTCATGCTTCTTAGGTCGCCTTGTCAAGCTTGTATCTGGAAAAGTAGTGCAGGTGAAAAATCCAGCAACGAGCAATTTATGTGAACCAAGGAATTCGTATTGAAGAAAAAAATGTTGCATCTTTTCGCCCTAGCAGGTTGATCAACTAAATTGCTCCAGCAGATAGCCAGCTTTGAATTGAAGAGCTGATCCAATTGACCATATGTCTGAAGCTGTTCAGGATTATACAAGCATAGCAAGCTGATAGAACTCAGTAGTGATCGACGACGTGAAATATGAGATAGGAATACAGGTACCAGGGCACATGCTCTCTGTTGTAGCATTTATCTTTTTGGAGGTTGCGTAGGTGAACGTTGTGTCTCTTGTAGACGTACAGTTTCAATTCAGATCAGTTTTGTTTTCTTTGTACCACGTAGTGGTGGCACTGTGATTTTGCTCCAGTTCTTGATGGTTGTGAATAGAAAATTGCGGGAGGTTTCGTGTAGATTATAAGTCAGCTGGCACAAAAAGGCGCTTGTACGAAATAATCTGACTTTTTACCACCGGAGTCTTGAGCTTGTTCAAGATCATGCTATGAATTGTTCATGAATTAGATGCACGGCCGGGGGACATAATCAGGAAACGACCGGAATGGTTAAACCCCCAAAGGTTTTTGCGCTGAATTTCATCGTTTCAGTTAAATCCGCTGCGGTCTGGATGGTTTTGCATGCTAACTGCTAGAAGCCCGGAATCTCACGGTTGCCATCTGATGTGCATGTCTATCGCAATTCTTGACTGTGATTAGCCTGCCGTGGAGGAGGACGGAGGACTTCGTAGAATACTAGTGGTTTTGGATTGAATTTTTTACGTAACATGTTAGGCAACTGCGATCCCAAACAAGACCAGGAGTTAAAACATCTCGTCCTGAGTGATAAGGACTTCTTCTCAAGAGGAAGGCAGCTGCAAAAAAGTTGTCAGTATTAAACAGAGAGTATGAGAACGTTTAACTGTGGATGATGGAGTCTCTGCCGGGAGAATTCTACTATTTCACAAGACGCTGGTCACTCAAAAAGCTAGTAACCTTTACAGCGTGCGCAAATCAATCAAATCTGACGAGAAGTCCCCAGTTTGAGGGACTGACTAAGCAAAGCTTGTTTTGTACTAGTTGCTTCGATACTACTGTTCTCGCTTCCAAATAAATTATTTATCTGTCTTCATGAATCATGAGTAATAAAATAATACTACTACTACTAAAACCTGAGACAAGATTTTGATAGCGGGATATGTCCTTTTTTGTTCATGGCTGATTGGATAACCTACTTATGCCTTTCTTTGTCACCACGTTCCCCACCAGGGCCAAGCTTCCTTGATGATGATGCGTCCTGTGGCATGCATATGCCGCCAAGACTATATTATATAATGGTTGCTTGTCAATAATGTCTTCTTCTTCTTCTTTTATATGTATATATATATATATATATTATTTTTTGGGGCAGGGGCCGTCGACTTCTACTTTCTTGCCGTGTAAAAATAAATACAAAATGGGTTTAGTGGGCGCCGGCCGTGGATTTGGTCAAACAATTTATTAGCTGGAGACAACTGGAGGGTGAGACCTTGGACCGGTCCAAACAAGGCGGCTGCATATGTTATTATGTCTGGTCTGGGCCCAGGAGCGCTAAAATCGACTCGGACAATAAAACGTGAGGATCTCTAACATTCCAAGACAGGCACCAGGAATCTTTTACTATTCGCGATGCCCCATTCCATTCCAAGCTGCAATCACTCCTTGCATCACCATTATCATCTGATAAAAATTTGAAGAAAACACAAGTTGTAGATACCTTTGCTGGAATGGAAGGGACGGAAAAAGGAAAGGATACGTGAATTGAAGGGAACTCTTATCAATCAATCAATAATGAGTTAACAGAAAACCAGCAACCACTAAATAACCAACGATCACAAAAGAGAAGAAGCTGCATTTCTGTAAGACAGTAATATAATAATTAAATACAATAATATTTCACACGGACATTTGATGATGATCATCAAGAACTCGCAGACGTTCTCTGTTGATTGCTAGATAAAGGAGCAGAAAATCTTGATGAAAAACTGACGAACAAATCATCCTCCTCCTCCTCCTCTTCGCCATCATCAAAGTTGAGTGCATAGCTGTTTGGGGTGTACATGGATCGAGTCGTAGATTTCTTGGGCTTGACGTACTTTCCGATCTTCCTGACAAGGTTCTTCCACTTAGGTCCCGCCACAACCTCTGAATATTCCTTCATGTTCTTCAGCTTGTCCACGAACCAGGATTCCTCATGGCCGCTATTCTCTCGCAGCAAATATTTGCTCTCTTGATTGCTTCTTTTCCAACCTCCAAATCCAAAGCAGCAGCAGCAGCAGCATCCACTTGGGGAAGCTACCTCCTCCTCCTCCCGGTCATGATGCAGGCCTTCTTGTTCATGCTCTCTTATCGCTGAATATGAGCTAGTAAAGGCCTGTTTCTGCTCAGCTCTGGCCATATATAAAACTCTAGCTACTCTTCTTCTTCTTCTTTTTTTTTTGGCTTCCTGTCCCTGTGATTGAGAATTTGATCACAACGAAACTAGTTTGTAGCTGATATCCGACGGTCGGGTGAGAGGAGGAGGAGGAGGACCTGAGAATATATACGTTTTAAGTTTTGCATGTGGTTCGTAGTTGTGGCCGTGTCATGCGTGTGATTTTTGCGTTAGCTAAGGGCCGGCAAATAAATATCCATCTCTAACTTGCCTTTTGGAAATTTAATTTCAATGGCACTACGAGGAAGTAACCGCGCCAGGGAAGAGAACTTCAGAAATGGAACTAAATGAATTGAGAAGCGGGCGTTGACTAGTAAATGCGACTCTTCTACGAGATAGGGACACAACAATCATACAATAGTCAATAGTCAATAAATGTATTTATTTATTTTAAGAATGTAAGCGCGCACAAGTAAACTGGCTCATTATTATATATAAAAAAAAAAAAAGTAATGATAGTTGTGTTTAATGAATACATATCATTAACTAGAGTTTAATGATAGTTGTGTTTTTTTTTTTTTTTTTATAATCCACAGGAATTTGCAGCATCCGTTGTACGATCTGTGATTAATTCTGTTCGATCCGCATCGAGTGTCTTGCAGGGAAAGCTTTCTCAACATTATTATCTCTTCCATTTCCATGAATTTTGAACCTGAAATTTCAAGATTAAGGGATGCAAGTGCCTTTTGCTTGCACCAGCATCCATCCGGTGGTAAAGTTTAATGATAGTTGTTGTATCGTTTTGGATACATTCCATGTACAGTAGCAATTCTCAAATACTCTGTTGCTTAACTGATCATATTTGAACGGAGTTAATTAATCCCAGATTAGAAGTCTTTGTATATTTCCTTCATTTACATTCGTGGCGTGATCCCTCATCCATAATAATTCCAATATATATACATACCACTGGCGGAGGCCGGCCCATTACCCAATTTATCTTCCAAGCGAAGATATATACGTATAATTTTAGTACAGGCTGCTGCCACCTGCTTTTGCGATGCGCGGGAGGATATGTATTCATATTTTGATTTTCATTTGACAAGTCCCACGTCTTATCCGACACCAAAAAAAAAAAAACAAAAATTAACTTTTAAATAAATAAAATCTTACACGTCTTAGGGTGGGTGCATTTGATAAAAATCTGAAGTTTTTTTTTTTTAAATTAAAGTCTGAAATTTAAAATTATTAAATTCTCAAGTAATAAGGCCCTGTTTGATATGACTGCGACGCATTAAAAATTAACACGAAAATTGCAAGAAGAAGAGAGAAAATCTTAGCTGCTGCTGTGCTGAGATAACACGTCCGTATGCATCACGCTAAAAAGTGTTTGAACATGTAAATGAATGTTTACAAATCAACAGGTCTGTTCCCTTGCCTGGATCCTTCTCATGTGATTACTTCGAATATGACTGGAAAGACCATTGGCATTCATTCCTTGCCTCCACAATATTTCAGTTTTGTGTTAAATTTAGCCCTAAAAATTAGCCTTCAAATATCCGAATACGTTTCTTGTTTTCTCTCATACCGTAGGTCAAATCAACCTGATCTTCTACATCAGAGGGAACATATTTCAATTAGTGGATGCTAATTAAGGCGTTCAATGCTCAGAGAATTTGGTTGGTAAAATATTAATAATTCAGATGAGCTTAGCAACAAATTTTGGAGGACTTTACAGAACGCATCTTTTTTTTTTGGCTCAAGAGAGACTCTACATTTGGGTTTAGAAACCTGAGAAATCACTTGAGAGAGAGAGAGGGAAGTCAAAAAGAAAGAAAAAATTGTTTCCTCAAGAAAAGAAAAAAATAAAATTATCTTGTCATCATTACTTATTAGTTTAATCAAGTGGAGATTAAAAATTGAAAGCTACCTGCTGCCCTTTGAAAAAAAAGGAGAAAAAAAAAAAGGCCTACCAGCAAAACCTTACTTGACGTCAACGCATGCGGACGAGTGTGGAATTAGGATTGACTTAAATTATGTGGCTGAATGTTGAAACATCCATTAAAAGACATCATCAATTTCTGGGTTTAGTCATGGAAGGAGGCTGTATCCTGCAACTAGAATTTGCTAGCTAGCAGGTAACAGGTTCCTTTCGCATGAATAATCAACTTTGAACGAAACCATGGACAACTTTTTGCCTTAGCTTAGCAGGCAACAGGACCAGTCTTTACATCAACATCTACTAGTAATGCACAAGAATCATGGCTTTCTCAGATTAGCAGGGGTCTCTGGTATGAAATATATATTGTTGTTTGCTTGCTCAATGTAAGTTTTGTTTTTAAAATTAAAAACAAAAAAAAAAATTTCTAGCAGATGAGGGTAGAATTTAAGAAGCTGTGAGGAGAAACGGGGATTTGAAAATCCTGACAAGAAGTCTCAAAAGTGCCAAGTATCGCAGTTTACTACCACAGTCTTGTGGCAGATTTGCAATGTGACATAATTGCCACTGATCTTGTAGTATTCCTGGTCACTTAAAGCAACTTATTTCGTAGACTTGGTTCTGTACATATAATCCTCCATAACGCAGCTGTTGCAACTCCGAAAATTCTTGGAATCCGAAGAGCAGCACAGCCTTCTCCAATAATAATCTGAGACCCAACACTTCGACCTGTGGGCTGCAATTGAAGGAAAACAAGAAAGCTGTCATGGCAAATCTAATAATAAAATCTCAGAACAAAAGGACCGTATGTCCACTAATAATAATGGCGATTATACGCAACCCACATTGAATTTCGACAAATGTTCATGCTACGTACTCAAAACAGCAGTTACATGATATGACAGCAAAGGTTTCACCTAGTTATTATGTCCGTCCTAACCCTTGTTCAACAACAGCAGCGAACTGCATCTATACATTTGAAAGCCACGTTTCAAACATCTGGAGTGATGTACAAAGCAAGACATGCCAGACTAGATGTGCTGAAGGCTATTATTCCCCAAATGAAGGGCATAAAAAAGTAAAATGCAAATTTTATTCCCACCACCTTCCGCACTAGCAATCATAAGGTCCACAATCCATGCATGATATTCGGCTGAAGTTGTACGGTAGTTGCCATTAACACTCTACATATTGCCAGAAAAGAACACCAAGGATATATATATACCAATTGGGCCCGGAATTTCCTGATCCTTTCTTACTAACCTATAAAAAAGAAATGCATATCAAAGTTGAAAGTAACCTAATTTTGTAGCAAAGACGACATTTTGAGAAGGCAAAAGACAAAAAAGAAAGTTCAGTAAGTACATTGCCTGGACGAATGTGGAGGATACTTCGCCTGGGATTGATTCCACATTAGATGCAGATGGCCTATTTAGGATGGGCCTGGAAAACAAGTTGCAAGCTTTTATTTCAATTGGATTATGGAGCACCGCAATGGTTTGCATTGCTGATGAGTGATAAGCCCACTATCTAAGTTCGGCTGCCAAGAAGCATGTGGATTGCGGAATTTGTAATTGCATTTACTCCAGTTACGTACCTTTGCATGAACAATTTCAGATTGAATATTGTTCTCACGGGAATCGTGGTCCGCGTAATACCTCAGTGAAAATGCGTTCTAGTATTATAATTTTCACCTCAAAAAATAAATAAAATTATAATTATTCAGAGTATAACTTTGAGACCGAAAAAACAAAAAAAACAAAAAAATATTTGAACAATACGTTCACGAAAAATGTAAAAAGTTTTGCGACAAAAATCACAATCCAGTAAACAATTCACCTTTACGTGACGAGCACAACTGGGTGAAGTTCTTTAGTAATGATGATTGCACTTTAATTATTAAACTCAGACTCTTCAGCTGGCAATCATGGAAGAACACAATTAGCCACTCGTAATAATAAGTACTCAAAAGAGTTGTGCGTATGGAACAATCAAAATTGGTATGGTGAAAGTCCATCACCAGCGGCAACATCCCATAACATCGAAATATAAATGGTGTTGTGCTGGAGGGACAATAATTATAACAATGCCATTTTACAGCGGGGAAGTTACATTGGAGGCCGAGAAAGGCAAAATCCCCTCTTTTTAACTTTCGCATAATCTATTGAATAACAGAACTCAGAACCGCAATTTCAAGTGGAGATATTGGTGTGTGTATGTCTTAAATTCTGTCACAATTAATTGTTTGCTTTGAAATCTAATTCTACTATTCTCACTGTTTGTTTTAGGTGGATGAGATGAATTGCTTGAGAGTTACAGACGCAGAAATGAGCGCATTGACCGGCAGGTAGGAGCTAGGGATCGATGAAGAAGAGCAGAAGCTGAGCAAGGGATCGCGCTCTTAGCTACTCGGTGGAAAGGGACGGACATCTTAGCTGCTGGTATTATGTGAATGAGGGGGCCATCTGGTGTCGGTCCCTGCACTCTTTTCCGCTGCCGATGACAACACCACAAAAACGACGGGACGCACACACCACACGCACTGAACCCACACGGCCATCGTCGATAGGCTCGAATATGCTTATTCACATCGTACTCAAGCCATTAAATGGTTCTTCATCAGATGGGTGTGTTATGCCCAATGATGGAGCCAAGGGGGTAGAGGGGGTCATGTTTTGAGAATTTGAATTCATAATATGTAAATATGTGTGTAAAATAAAATTAGCCTCCCAAAATTTTTACAATTTTAGTTTATATTATGAAAGTTGATATATATATACATATGAATTAGTCATCTTTGAATGGAATGGCTTGCAAGTTTTAATTTGCCATGAATGTCCATATGCCTATTACATTCATTGTTTGGCTCATAGGCTTCAACTTGCTTTAATTGCGGTTTCTAAAGAAGTAACTTCTGTTCACCAATTCTTCTCCAATGTAGTTTGCATTTTCAACATTGTTACTGCATCTAGCAAACGTAATGATGAATTAAAGGAGGCTCAAGCAATTGAAGTTGCTACTAAAATTGTTAATGGTGAACTTGAAACTGAGAGGGGGCTTCATCAAATTGGCACTTTAAAACGAGCTGGAGATACTCGTTGGGATTCTCATTTGGATTCTATTTCTAGTTTACTGAAAATGTTCAATGCTACTTGTGTGGTTTTAAATAACATTGCAGTAGACGGAGGTTCATACTTTCAACGTGGAGATGCAAATTTTGCTTTGAATCAGTTGTTATCCTTTAAGTTTGTTTTCACTTTGCATCTTATAAAAGACATTATGGAAATTACTCATCTTTTTTGTATAGCATTGCAACGTAAATCTCAAGATATTTTGAATGCAATGCATCTTGTCTCAAGCACAACAAAGCTACTGAAGAATTTTTGAGATTCAGAATGGAATGATTTCTTGGTGAAAGTTAAATTATTTTGTGAGCAACACCCAATTGATATCCCATGTACGAATGCTCAATATATTGCAAGACGTGATAGATCTCGAAATCATCATGATGAGATTAGTGTGGAGCATTATTATCGAGTGAATATATTTCTTGCAACAATTGATTATCAATTGCAAGAGTTACATAGCAGGTTTAATGATCATACCGTGGAATTGCTTGTTTTGAGCATTACTTTAGATCTTAGAAATGGATTTATGCTATTCAAGATTGATGATATTTGTAAACTTGCAGAGAAGTTCTATCCGAATGATTTTATGGAGCAAGAACTAGTACGTCTAAAAATAAAATTTCAATATTTTGAGCTCGACATTCCAAATCATTCTGAATTGCAAGAATTATCTGGTATTAATGAGTTATGTCAAGATTTGGTGAAGACAAGAAAATCATTGATATATCTTTTTATTGATATATTGATTAGACTTGTTCTTACTTTTTCTGTATCAACTGCAACTACAGAGCTGGCATTTTCAATTATGAAAATAATCAAAACAAAACTCCAAAACAAGATGGAAGATAATTTCTTGAATGATTTGTCTAACTGTGTATATAGAAAAGGAAGTTGCTGGAAATTTTAGCAGTGTTTCAATCATAGATGAATTTAGTTCTATGAAAGAGTATAGAATTCAATTACTTCAAAAAAAGATGTTGAAATTTCAAAATATGTTAATATAACTTTTATCTTTTTTCAATTGAAAATAGTTACATTTATATATATATATATATATATATATATATATATATATATATATATATATATATATATATATATATATATATTGCATAGGTGACATATTGGAGAGCATCTTCTCATAATGTGCAGGTTTGTGATGTTATAAGATATTTAATCAAAGGTTATCTTTTTTGTTAATTTTTGTTATGACTGTACCGTATATTTATGAATAGACATACCTTTATAATTAAATTTAATATTTGATATTTTTAGATGTCATATATTTAAATAGAAGAAAATTATTTTGAACATAATATATTAAGATAGTTTTATTAGGAAAAAATTTTGGCCCAAAAAAAAAATTCTGACTCCATCACTGATTATGCCCATATGATCCGACGGTAGTTCTATTTTCATCGCCCGTTGGACTTCCCTCTTAATTAGATTAGAAAAGTAAGATATACATAAAAAGCAACGATTCACCCGAAAAAAAAAAAACATCCTACTCATCCATGATTCATATCCTTGCCTCCCTTTCCTTGTCCACTTCCCATTCTGTGAAAATTACTTATTTAGTGCCGCCACCAACTTGTGCTGAGCTTACAAGCAAACTTTTGCAATCCCATTTTAGGCTCCATATCTTCTTCTAATTAATATATTAATATTGCTGCTTTTCCGCTCCAGGAATATAATATAGTAATTATAGTTTGAAGCAGTTTTACTTTTAATTGAATTACCGTCCGTTCCATGACGGTGTCATTTCTTCTTTTGTTTGGAAATGGATAAAGGTTGGATGACAAAATAATAGTAGCACGATACAAAACAAAACCCCAAATTCAAAAGTCACAATAATATCTTTTTGCTGCCGAGATGAAGTCATCGAAACTTGACTAAATCGTCGCCTTTTCAAGCAGCAGTAGTGTCTTTTGCTTGCGTGAATTTTGATCTTTGTTGGAACAAGACTTATCACCTTTTTTTTTTTTTTTTTTTTATTTCTACTAAGAAATCAGGAGGGTTATCTTATAAGATATGCTACTTTAAACAACATTTGGTTAAAGCTCTGCGTAATAATGGAGTGCATGTTTATTGAACATTGATGTCGGTGACTTGGTTCACATTGGTAGGTAAATCCGTATCTTTGTACAAATAGTATAGGTACATTATCCAAATCCAAGTATAATGTTAATTATATAGTCAGCTAGCTAACTTAAAAGAGTCTTAGACTTGCCATTTTTGCTACAACCTGTTGTTACACCTACTTGGCAACATAGAGTACATAGGATTTTTGTTACGAGTGTTTAATACACAATTAAACTAGAACTAACTTAACAAGTGAATGGACCGACCACATTTAATGCATCCTGTGTATTCTAACACTTTTTATATCACGAGATGTTCATGGCAAACTGAAGCCAGTAGGATGGATCACTTGATATTTTTCCAACACAACTTTGTACAGCCACGTAGCCTCCTTGCGATTAATCTTTCTGCATTGTTGTCTGTCTGAGTTTCAAATTTGAGCTGAGCAGCCCCCGGCCAAGATCGTCATTGCAGATAAGACTGCTGAAGGACTAGATATTCACAAAAACTGATCATGGTTTCCCGGCTTTGAATACTAAATCCTACAGCTCAGAACCATTTAGATCCGCAAGAGATTGGCGGTCGGCTCGAGATCGACAGATTTACAAAAGCGATTTATACAGCTGATCTTTTAAATTTCACCAATTGGCTCATAAACAACCACAAGCAAAATTGTATACACTACACGAGCACTGTCATTCTCCTGTGTACTCACTCTATTTCCAGCAAAGGACTGGCCACTGACCACTTACCAATGGCCTTAACACTTCCTATCTGAATCCCCCCCCCCCAAAAGAAAAGGCTTGTTGAAACTCGCAATCCAAAATTCGGAAGTTGGAGAAGAACCCGGATCCCAAAAAACTTCACCAGCAACGCAATAAATCTACAGAAAGCTACTAAAACGAAGGAATGTCGAACAGAACATTCCGCACAGGTGTGTATTTAGTAGGACATTCGAACAGAACACCGAATAAAGAATTTAGTAGGAAACAGAAAGATCTATCAAATTCAATATATTAAACACTCTGATGTTTCCATGAGCAGAAAAAGAAACATAAATTTTTTACTCTGTACTGCTAGTATTTCATCTGCAGCTAATAGCTGCGATTTCTCTTACAGCAGGCAAGGCTTCAACAGGCTGGGAAGGAGGAAGCCTGGCGGAGAAATTCCTCAACGGATATTCATCGTCCTCGTCGAACCCATCTGCGAAATTCAGCGAATAACTCAGCGGGTCGTATCTGAACTCAGCAGACGGGTGTCTTTTATGATGCCTGTTGATTCCATTTCCAACGCGGCCGAAAACCATCATGCACTTGTCCTTTATATCGTCTTTCAAATCATGGGCCTTCCTTGTTTTCAGCCAGAGCAAAGTGGGCTTGTCATCTGACGGCAGAGGAGGTGTTGGCGGTCCCGTTGGAGAGTCTAGAACCTGGCGATGGCCGTGGTGGTGGCGGCGGAAGCAGCAGTAGAAGCAGAGCGAGTCTTTGATCTTGGATTTGAGTGAATGTGGAGAGGCTGGGTTGAGATCGTCATCCAATTCCATTAGTCTAGAATTTCTTTCCTTTATTTTCTCTTCTAGTGTGTAGTGTGTCTAAAAAATGCAGCTAGAGAGGTTGCGGTGGTGATGCTGATACATATACTGGGAGGGAGAGATACGTGTAGTCTGGAGAGTGAGGAGGTGAAAAAGGACGAGGGGGGGTTAGCATACCGCGGCGCTAATTCAACCGAGTACAGAACGTGGGGATGGAGGTGGAAAAGCGGTTTTAGTTATATCCGAATGGGATAATATCATGTACCTCCCTTGAGGTTTCTCCTAATATCACCTAGCCCTCCTAACGTTTTAAAAATATAACTTACCTCCTCTAATAATTATAAAAAAAATTATATTAACCCTCACTTAAAACATAATTCACATATCAAATGAATGGAACTAAAAATTTAAAAAAAAAGGAAACAAAAATCACTTTCTTCACTTTCCCTTTTTTCCAATATTCTCTTTTACTCATTTTTTGGATGACCATGCAATTTTCTATTTGTAAACTATAATAAATTGAAATTTGTTATCTTTTACTCTTCATAATTGTGATAGAGTGGGGTATAATTTATTTGTTTATTTTAAGTTATTTTTTATAATGATTAGTACATTTTAAAAGTTTGGATACGAGTTGAGAAGAAGTTGGGAAAAAAAAGATAAAGTTCATAAGAAATCAGTTTTTAGCATGTAGAATTAAATTAGTCAACTATATTTTTTTGTAAATATCTTTTTTATTTTTCAAATATATATTTTTATGGACTATAGTATTATGATGTGATAGTACCACTAGGCATTATTTTTTAAATGATGGTTTTCTTGAAATAAACAAAGTGATATAGGAGCATTTTTTTTTTTTTTAGTAAGTAGAAGGATAATTTAGGGTTTTCAAAAATTTTGTTACACAAATAACAAAAGTAAGAGAGGTAAGTGATATTTTTAAAACCTTAGAGATGTCAGGTAATATTAAGAAAAATCTCAGGGGAGATTTCTATATTATCCCCATCCGAACAGGAGGGGATTTTTTTTTTTGAGATCTTCTAGGGATTCATTAGTAGTTTTAACCTAGACTGATTCTCAGTCAAAACAAAATAATAGTTGCAAGACATTCCTGATTCAAAATTTTGAACGTTTCTAATTTAACGATGCTAGTTTTGTTTAAGAAAACAAATCTCTTGTTACCTGTGGAATCCAAGTAATCACATTCAACTAATTGCATGATCCTTTCGATTTTAAACAAATACACCAAGTCGCAAAAAGAAAAAGGGTTAATAATACTTAGCCCCTTGAACATTTAGGATGATCACATTTTACTACTCTGAGTCTCGACTTTAAAAATATACATTTTGCTCATTTTACTAAAAAATTATTTTTTTCCCCACTTATAAAGATCACATACTGAAAGTATCAAGGCTTCATTGACGATTTTTCATCTTTTCTTGTGCATGCTTTGGGTTTATTCATTGAGAATTATCATACGTTAAGCAATCGTGTTTGATTGGGTTTACGCCACAAAGTTCACGGTGCTTGCAATTCAAGAGAATGCAGCTTCTATTATAATTTATATAAAATGCTGTGTACTGCTTCTACTTCTCCAGCGTAGGGAAAAGTCCCGACCAATTATGCTTCCATTTTGAATCCTTACTAATGCTATATATTTTCTATTCAAGAAGCAACGAAGCTGTAGTAGATTTCCTCAATTCAACGATTTTGATGCGTGATACTATCAGTATAATCAATCGTTTCAAAAAAAACAAGGAACAAGAAAATTCTGATGCTGGAAGCAAACGGATGGCAATCGGCAGCGGGCTACTTGCCCTTTTGGGTTGACTAGCCATATCGATGATGGTCGTTTTTACTTGCACAATACCAGAGTTGCTGCTCAAATCGACAATGCAGAGTCTCATTATTGTCTTTCGGCTCACAGCCCCAAATTTGCAGCTTAAACGGGCCTCCGCCTCAGGTGGGATGTAAAGGATCGAAGAGTTTAGACCAAAACGACAGTTCGCCCAATTTCGCATATCAAGATTGAATTCGTCAAGCATCAAAAGTTCGGTACAGAATCTTTTCACTAAATGTGAGCAGCTTGAAATTTTGATGTGGAGTTTTTGCATGCTAATTCATTCTTACAGTTTGTTTCCTGACAAACAAGTTGGGTTGAATCGTAAGTACAAGATTCTGGATGCGAGATTTAACTCGAAAGTTGGCCCGTTTGAAAACTCTGGACTTGGCCGGTAGCCGGTAGCCCACTATGCGATGGATACTCCTAATCTCCTATGCTCGTATAGAGCCCAAATCTTTCGATCCATCAATCATTGGATGCAAATGCAACAAAAGGGAATCTTGATCTACAAAGTAATAGTAGCATCGCTAAATCATGAAAGAAAAAAGAATTTGTAAGGGAACCTTGGCGCAAGGACAGAATTCATAGTGATATTCTTAGTTAGGACATTTTGATTTCCAAGTTTTCATTTTGTGTACAATTATTGAAAGTAACAAATAAAGCATTATTCCATTCCAGTGATAGGTGTCTGATCACGTTTTTGGGCCGGGTTGGAGCGTCGGGTCCGGATCGCAGGGAATTAATCGGATCCCGTAAGAATTGATCCGAATGTCCCTGTGTCGACAAAAAAAAAAAAAAAAAAAAAAATCGCCAACACAAAACCTCCATAATCCCACATGGATTGGGGACTGACATCAATACCAATGCTATTCATTAATCCCACAATAATGGTTTCGTCGTTCGGGGTCGCGTCGTCTGCTAGAATTTCTTTCCGTAGCTATATTATTATTCTGAAAACCAATATGTATTTCTCCTTCTTTGTTTCTTCTCTCCAACACCGTGCAGCTTCTCGGTCGTTGCGCGTTTGTTTGTAAAGAGACATGTTCCAAACCGGGGAGGGACTACGAGTTAGGAAATATCCAATTCAACGTACGCAATTAATTAACTGTCTTAATTTAATGGTTTATGCATCTTCTGTGAATGTGTGTTGTAGCTTCGACTTTAATCCCAAAGTCTAAGCATGGCTTCCACGTTCCACGATTCAAGATTCGCAGGTAAAGTTCAGATGAAGCAATTACTTTAGACTTGGGTCTGTCTAATCCAAGATGTAATTATAGTCTTTCTTTCTTTCTTTCTTTATATATATATGTATATATATATATTCCATCAAATAACTAATTCCTTGTTAAAAAATTTCGAAACGGCTGTTAGATTTTAGGAGTGCACCGTTGTTTTGTACAGGGTCATGGTTCTCTTGCTTTTTCTTTTTCCCAGCTAATTACGTAGCTATCACCCAGTCGACCCCTGTTCCAGCCCTGGTGGTGTAGCCTCTAATTAAGTAGTTATCAGGGTAGCCGACTTGATGGTGTAGTTATCAGGGTAGCATACTTGATGGTGTAGCATCTAATTAGAGCATCCACCAGAATTCGATCCTATCACAAAAATAGACAAAAACCCAATAACCCAAATAAGGGTTGAGCCTGAAGTGGGTCCAGATCCTTTTTTTGAACTCAAAAAAAAAATTAAGTAGCTATCACAGTCATCTGAAATTGGCCTACTTATATTACTACTAGATGTTAATGTCAGGTTTGGTCATAGTCATTCATGTGGCATTTCCACGAAATTATCTGCAAGAAGAAGTTTGACCCACAAAAAAAAAAAAAAAAACTAGAAGCAAATATTTTACTAGGTCACCAGAACTCCACAAGACAACCTAACCTTCCAGCTACGGAAGCTGAACTCCACGACTCATAGGATCAGCTGAACTTAAAAAAAAAAAATTTTTTTTTTAACCACAGAGGGATGAGACTTGATAACTGAAGAGAAGAGGGGGGATAAGCCGAACTCTTAACTTTTGTGCATGCTTCAAACTTCTCCACTAACTTTCCAACCCTTTCCACTAAACCACTTTTCAATATATATATATATATATATATATATATCATGTTGGAAGTTAAAGCGAATTGTTTTGATTACGCAGCGACCTTTTCTTTAATTTCTTTATTCATAATTGCAGATCCAGAATCCAGGGTCGTGTTAGGTCCTTGATTCTATGATTGATTTATCAAATCTTCCGTAGACAGATGTATAGTGGGGTATGCCTCGAAGTATTACATTACTATTATTATTATTATTAAAGTAAATCATACATATATACATTATTAGTTTTTTTTTTTGTCGCCACTTTATTTATATTATCCTATTCTATTCTAATTTAAGGGAATGTTCAATTGAACCTACGAAAAATCGATGGGGATTAAACCACTGTTAGATCAGACAAGTGCACTACGCATCCGTATAAATTTTTTTATAGAAATCACATATTATGACAATTGACAGAAAATAAAATTGAACCCTTGATCTCCTATCCGACCAAGTCTTAAGGACTTGGTGATAGCCATAGGTTGTTGGTTCATGACATGTGTATGTAATGGTGGCCATCCGTATCTATACACTATCAGTTTGATTCATTCATGACATGTATATTCAACTTTTACATAATTATTATTCATTTAGAAAATGATAATGGTTGGACTAACTTTTGAAGTTATAACGCCTGTCCTGTCCTGTCCTCCTCAATTCTTAAGAAGAGTCGTTACAATATTCATTATTATTAATCACACAATGCACCGATACTACAAGCCACGAACCTTGCACACCCAATTCAGCTCCTTTGCTGTTGGCCCTGCCGATACTTTTCCAATTTCACTTCATCAATCATGCCACTCACCTAATTCCTTTCCTCCCTTCCACTTCCCCCACCTTGCACGCCCACAGTGTCTCTCCACTTTTAATTCAACCTCTACCTCTACCTCTACCTTTTTTTTTTTTTTTTTTATAACGAAACATATTTTATTAACGGATTGCCGAAAATTATTTCGCACGATTGATATATATCGTTATCCTAAAGGTAGATAACATATGCACTAAAATTATAGATTTGTAATCTAATGGACACAAAAGACTTGAGAAATTAAGAATAGATTTAAAAAAATATCATTAATTTTAA